TGATCCACCGCCCAAGGTAGCGCAGGAAGTGCTGGCCGGGAGCAGGGCCGAAGTGGAGCTGGGGCTTGGTGGCGGCCTCGGTTCCGTTCCAGCGGTCTTGGCGGTTGTCGCGCGTGGTGAGCATGCTCAGGTCGCGGCCGTTGGCGCGCTCAGTCTGGTGAGCGAGCCACTTCATGATCCACGCGAAGGCCTCGTCCTCCTTGCGCACCTCGAGCGACACGACGAACTCGCGCCAGAACCGGTCCCACAGCCACTGGGCCGTCCAGCCGACGTAGGCCGCGACCATTCCCACCAGGACGAGCATGAGGCCGCCCGAGAACACATCGTTGTCCGCCAGCGCGCCGATTCGACCGCGAAGGTAGGCGCCTGCCAGTTGTTCGGCCATCGATTGATGATGCTGACGTTGAGTAAGATGGAGGGATAGATAGGGTTGACTGTGTGGTGAAGATAAACTGATGGTTTGGCGACGTCGGTTGGTCGATTAAATACCTGCCCAGTCCCCGGTGCAACATGTTTATTTGTCGGGCTGGACAGGAAGCTTTTTCTCATTCTCACGAGATAATTCTCTGTGTATCGGGCAAACACACAGGCAAGAATATAATAATTAAATGGGATTTTTCTTATATTTACGTAGAGAGTATTTCTATATAATTAGATAGAGGTTTTTGTTGGATGAGGCCCACCACATATGTGGTGGGCCTCTCACAACTGGGAAGTGCTCTACCGTCCACCGCTCTGGCTCCTTCGTGTCTTCGCGAGGCTGTCGGAGGCTGCGGCGTCCACCACCGCCAGGACGGCGTCGGTCGTCTTCCGCCGCGGGATCCCGCATCGTGGACACCTTCAACGCCATCGCCAAGGCCATCTTTGGCACGCCGGCCGACCAGCAGGCCGAGGCCAAGGAGAAGCTGGCCAAGGAGACCCTGCCGGCCCAGCTGACCAACTTTGAGAAGCTGCTCGAGAAGAACGGCAGAAACGGCTTCTTCGTGGGCTCGAAACTGAGCTACACCGACGTCACCCTGTGGGTCGCGCTGCAGCTGGACTTCTCCAGGGTGGAGGGCAGCCGCGACCAGCTCCTGGGCGCCTTCCCGGCGGTGAAGAAGCTCGTCGACAGCGTGTCGGAGGGAGCGCATCAAGGCCTGCGTCGCCCGCGACGTCCACTCCACCAAGGCCTAAACCTTGCATCCTAATACAACGACTTCTCCTACAACTCAGCAATTCTGTGGTGCGTCTTTATTTTTGACGGGCTTGGGGTGGGTTCATTGGCCCTGGCCCTTCTCGAGGTGGATCTGGCGGAGGAGGTCGCCCAGCAGGTTGTTGTCCCTGATGTGGTGCGCGAGGTCGGAGAGGGTGAGCATGCCGCACAGCTTGTCGTTGCGGTCGACGCACACGAGCCTGTGGAGCTGCTTCTTCTTCATGAGGTCGATCGCGTCCTCGATGTTCTGGTCCTCGTAGACCTTCTGCACACCCTTCGAGAAGACGCTGTTGACCTTGCACTGGTTGTAGTCGTGGGACTCGCCGATGCAGCGAATCACGATGTCGCGGTCCGTCAGGATGCCGCACGGCTTCTGGTTCTCATCCACGATCGGCACCACGCCCACGCCCTGGTCCTTCATGATCTTGGCCGCCTGCAGCACAGAGTCGTTTTCCTTCAGGCAGTGCGGGTTCCTGGTGATGACCTGCACATGTGTAGTTTAACAAGCGTGAGCAGAGGTTTGTTAAAAAAAACGACCACTGGCAGTGAAAGGGTGTGCGAGCGTACGTCGGCTAGCTTGAGGGACATGTTGGAGTGTTGGTGGTGTGTATGGAGGAAGGTGGAGGGGTTCGGTGTGGTAGGTTTGTCGTGTGGTATACTGAAAAGGTCGAGAGGGCCATTCGTTTATGTACCCCCTAGGCCTGAAAAGTCGTCAGCGAGCTGGCCTCTTATCCGTGGGCTCCCTGCGGGACCGAGCCGGCGGACGCACGCGTTCACCACCGGAATTGATGAGAGCATGTCTCTTCATACAACAGCCCACCGAATTCCAAGAGGCCACATAAAAACCATCAGCTCATTGGGCACGCTCGGCCTACCGCAAAAAACAAAACAAAACACAAAAAAAACAAGGTGTAAACCAAAAAAGTTGTTTTGTTTTTCTTTTCTTTTCTTTTTTTTTCTTTTCTTTTTTTTGTCTTTGCCTGGTTGTTGGGCGAGAGGTGCGGTGTCAGGGGAACTTGTAGGGCGAGAAGATCTCGGAGAGGAGGGTGGAGGGGAGGTGTCTCTCCCAGTCGAAGCCGCGCCACGCGCCGAGGTTCTGCTTCACGAATCGGATGCACTGGTTCCGGAGCGACATCAGCTTGTTCACCACCAGCTCCACTATGTAGCCCTCCTGCTGTTGCATGTTCACCATTTGGTCAGTGTGGGCGGTGTGCGGAGTGTGCGTGTCGCATCGTTGGGCGTGAGTACCTCGCCGGGGGCAGCCTCGAAGCTCACGTAGAGCTTGGACCCGTCGGCGCTCGCCACGATGCCGCTGATCTCGAGCGTCTGCAGTCGGTCCTCGATCGCCATCGCCTGCTCCTCGCCGCCGTTATCACTGTCGCTGTCTTCCTCCGACTCGGAAAGAGACATCGCGGCGGCGCCTTCCGAAGAAGCGGAGGAGCCGGAGGCCGAGAAGTCCGTTTCCGCCGAAGCGATCGTCATAGGTGCCGAGGGCGGCGACGTCGACACCAGAGGCGGCAACGCGGTGGCGGTGACAGCGGCGGCGGAAGCGTAGGCTCGGAGGGCGACGACGCAGGGGAGCGACTTGAGTTCGATGGCCTGTCGCAGTTTTCGCTCCAGGTCGAAGACGTGGATGAGCTGCCCAGCGGTGCAGGCAACCAGCAGACTGCTGCCGGTCTCTGTGGCGCTGCTCGTGGAGATGAACTTGACCGACGACATCTTCTGCCCGCTCTCAATGTCAAGCTGATCACGCCATGTTATTTCTGCGTATTAATAGGCGCATACGACACACGGCGCACACGACACGACACGACACACGGTGAGATGCGAATGTTGACGAGAGAAGTGGCTTGAGGTACCGGGAACGGGATATGATGTGGCGTGCGCCCAGGGAGCAATGTCGCGGCTCCACAGGTAGTGGAGCGGATTCGGGCTCCAGTCCTCCTGTGCGAGGGGCGTCGGGAGGGTTTGGTCAGGCCATTGGGACGGGCTGATCACAGCGAGAAGCAGAGAATAGAGAGGGAGGTGAGTACGTCTCCAGGGTAGGCGAAGATGAGCGTGGCGCCGACTTCGCAGGCCACAGCAAACCGGTAGGGTGGATGCGGCTCCCACCAGACCATGTTGCTTCCGTTGCCGTCCGAGACTTCGTCACCGATGCTGTCGGACGAAGAACGTGTGAAGAGCGCAACGCAAAAGAAAGAAGACGAGCAGCGAAAGAGAACACGACGGAAGAAAGAATGAAAGAGAGAGAGAGAGAGAGAAGGGGGATTGGTGGGGGGGGGGCACTTACTGCGGGACGACGTGCTTGAGGTGGAAGCCATTCTCGCACGCTTTGAACACGTAGAACTCTGGTCTGTCTCCTGTGGAGTGCGAACCGACGTGCTAAGGCGTGAGTGCTTGCCACGCGAACTGAGCGACGGTGCGTGCGTGCGTGCGTGCGTGCGCGTGCGTGCGCACCCACGGCCACCATCCACTGAGCGTCGGGGCTTAGAGCAGCAAAATTGGTCGCTCGGCTCAGATCGATTGTCGTCGTGGTCGTCAGCTCAGGAAACTTGAACACTGTGTGCAATCCGCCACACGCCACCCTCTTGGTCAATAGCTGCTTTGGCGGAACGTGGCTCCGTCTGGAACACGATAAGAGAGCGAAAGGCGCTGCATGCGCACCTTTGAGGACTTGGTTGTTGGAGCAGACGATGACGCGGCGTTCGTCCCCTTGGTGGAAGCCAATGATGGCGTTGACCATACGCGAGACTGCGACCAGAAATAAAAAGGGGAAAAAACACGAAATGTGGTGTTAGCGCCCACTCATACATGGTCGGGTTCATCCAAAGCGGCGGCGGGGTACAGGGAGCTATGGTGCGGTTCAACAGCTCTTGGTGCCCCTTGGCGATGTCCAGCACGACCAGCCTGAAGTGGCCCGCACGTTAAATCGCACACGCACACGCACACGCACACACACCAACCCATCCCCAGAAGGCTGCGCGTACTTGCCGCCATCGGTGCCGA